GGGGCCACGGACTTCTCAGCTCCTCCCCAAGTTTCCCCATCATTGTTCTCCCCTCCCCCCTCCCATTTCATCACACAGCTGTGTTCCCTAGTCTCTTCAAACTTTCATTTTCACTGGTTTTCAGGAAGGTCAGATAAATATTCCTGGAAAAAAGTCCTGGCTCACTGAAAGAAAGGACACAAGGCATTAAGTTTTCAGTGGGTCAAAGAACAAAACAAAAAATCAAATCTCTGCAGTTGGCTAGCGTAACCGACTCATCTCTTAACTCAGACCCCGGTGTTCTTCCCGAAGAACACTAACCTCCTTCCATGAAAGATCTAACATGACTTTTAATAAGATAGATTACTCTCTTCTTTTGTGATCTGATTCTGTACTTCTTTAGTGCTTGTTTATCCCCATGGGGTGAAGGAGTGACCTTGGATGCCACCCACAGGTAAATGTTTTGGGTCTTTTCCCAATAGGTGATTGAGAACAGGAAGAATACACACAGCCTGTGAGGAAAGGAGTTTCCAAGTCACGTGATAAACCTAGGAACTAAGCTTAAAAAATAACAAATCAATGGATTTTTAAAAGCAATGTCACTAAGAAGAAATGAAGTAGATTCAGTCACTGTAAATTACAGTAGCTCCCCAGGTTTTATGAATGTCACAGTTACCAAAGCCCTTTTACATGCACCACTATCCCAGAATCTCAAAGTTGTTTTCTAAACACACTCTAGTCCATGGAGCATATAAGTTTCCGGAACTCCTATCTTTATGATAATCTGTGAATTAGCTATGTGTCATTTATTTCTGATGAACTCTTACTGTCATTAAGTTTTCATATTTTTTTGTCTACTCTCCTGAATGGGAGGACAGGAACCCTGACAGTACTTTAACCAGTTAAAAAAAGCTCACTCTGGTTAAATTCTTCAAAATCAATGGAAAGATCTTTCAGTCACCCTTAATTTGTTTTGGGCTACTGAAGTCCAGGTGGGAAGAGTGAAGAGATGGGAAAGCAATGTACCCTATTCCCTTTACAGATAAACCCAGTCTCTCAACTTCCTCTCTCCAGCTCCTCTATACACCTCACAGGAAATTTTGCCTCTTCTTAAGAAAAGAAGCTAGACTGGGGAATGGTGACACTTGATCTCAGATCTCTGGTAAGAACAGTTGCTGGGTTTGCATTTATTTTGAATTAGGAAGTCCTATTTCTAAAATAGGGAATGGCCAGAGATCATAAAACACTTTCCATCCCCATTCAAATAGTTGAAGCCACGCTCATTCATCAAAATTCCTCAGAGATTCAATGACCTTCCTCTTCTCATAGGCTTCTTCTAAATTGTCTCCCAACCCTGACCACTGCAAAAATATTCCTTCTTTTTGACCACAAGCACTACTACAACAAAAAAGCCTATTCACTCTGGTTAAATTCTTCAAAATCAATGGAAAGATCTTTCAGTCACCCTTAATTTGTTTTGGGCTACTTCGATAACAAAGTAGTACGTGAAGCTAAATGAAATCCATGAATTTATCACCTAAATTAATATAGAGTTTTACAATATAGAAAGCAATCTGAAATATATTATCGTATTTGATTTGCTTCTTTCAACAGCCCTGTGAGAGCAATGCAATAAATGCTTTGATCTTCAAATGACATGCTAGGTGAAAATGTTTGAGAACTGGAGAGCACTTAACATAAATGAGTTAGTGCTTTACATATGAGGAAAACAGAGGAAGCATGTGACTTGCCCAAGGTCACATAGTTAGGGGGAAGTCAGGGCTCAAACCAAGAACTCTTGGATTAAATCTAGTACTTCGCCTGGCTTGGTCCTCATATGAGATAACTAAATGCACAGAAAAAAGCTGTTTTATGGACACACACCCTTAACCCATCTGGCCATCTCAAAAACATGTGCATGAAGAACTAAGCAAGTGGATATAAAAACTTAGCAAGGTCATGGGCATCCCTGGTGGCACAAGGGGTTAAGTCTTGCACTTATGAAGCTATTGGCAGCCACTGCATCACAAGTTCGATCCCCGGCCAGGGAACTGACCCAGGGGGCACAGCAGACCTCTCCTGCTGCACCCCTCAGCAGTATATTTCAGTCAATCTGCCTGTTCTGCTCCCCATTCTGTCTCTGGTGACTCCTCTCATCCCCCCACACCTCTGGCCTACACCCCAGCTCTAGTATGCATAAATAAATAAATCTTTTAAAAAAAAAGACTTAGCAAGCTTTGTACCATTCCTTGTAAATATAATTCAGAGTCATTATATCTGCTTGCAATAGCAAACATTTTTAGAAACCCTTGAAAACAATATATATTAATGACAATATGTTATTCAGGGACAAAAGCTGAAACAGACACAAAATAGCTATACTTAGTCCATCTTTCAGCAACAATTAACACTAAAAAATAGACATGTCACAAATGCTTCATGTTTCTATGGACCACCGACTTACTTCCTGAGAGGGTGTTACACATCATCTTGGAAGCCTTCTCTAACTGACCTTACCTGCACTACAATTGAAATTAACATATGAAGGTTGAAACCATCTGAAATGAAAGAATTTATACTTGCTGACATGCTAATTTATTCCACAATTCATTCATTAAGTATTTACTGAAGCACTTTACTTGCAAAGCTCTACACTAGACCTGTAGGATATACCAGAAGAAATCAAACATAGTTCCTGTCTTGATGGAGTTCAGTCTAGTGCTGCTTTTATGTGGTCCTCAGGAGCCATGTACCTTACCTAGTTCCTCAGTTGGACTGCAAGCTCTTTGAGAGCAAGAACTGCATTCTTGAATTTTCTGAAACACACTAATAGCACCTATACTAGGCTCTCTACAGAGCAATTTGATAACTAAAGAGAATCCTTGACTCCATAATCTGCAACTTTTTTTTACACTCTAACCCTCCAATATGGTGTAAGATTGTGAATTATTTACAGTTCATAGGGTCTTGAACCAAGTGGCAAGAGCCAATGCAAATCGAGTGCCCCAGAATGGGACCTCAGCCCCCAATTTGATTCCAACAGGGATGAGAATTGGCATGGGGGTAAAGGGGAGGAATGCTCTCATCCTGCAAGTTGTATTATCTCACAGGAGAAAATGGTGCTCTGGCGACAGAAACTACAGGTGCTGGCCCCAAGACTGTTAACAAAGAAAAATGCATTTTGTCCTACCGCAAAGAGAATACAGTGGTGCTCCCATGAACTACAGGACAGCCAAATCAGACAGGGTGGGGTGACAACAGGATTCAGAATCAGTAGACAGAATCTGACTGATAGTAGTGAGTAAAATCACACTGGGCAAGGCAGGAAGCTTCTCTGAGCCTCAATTACCCCTTCTGTGAAATGGGAATAATAACCACTGACTTGTCCACCTCACAAACTGTATAGTAAGGCTCAAATGAGGTATGTTCTATGAAAGCACTTAGGAAATCATACCATGCTATACAAATGTTGGGGGAGACCTAAGGAGAGAAAAACTTCAGCCCAGGAACCCTCACTCCCCCCTCCTGCTTGCATCCCCTAACAGCAGGGTTTCCATCTTTTTACATCCTTGAATTCACTGACATAATTCACCATCCAATTCTTAAAAAGGCAAGTGCACTAATTCCAAACTCCAAAGGGACAGAAAGAGAAGGGCAGCCAGGTAACCATTTCCACTGTTTGCTTTTACATGCCTCAGTTGCCCCTTTCTACAGAGAGGCCAACGGAGAAGGGAGAGAGATTCGAACCAGCCACACATACTTTTTTGTCCTTTACGTCTGCCTTCTCCTGTCCACTACCAAGTCAGGTCCCCATCTGGGGAGTACTGAACTAATCTAAATAGGACTGTGAAGCAATACACAGATTAGCATTTGCGAGAGATTATATGCATTTTAAGCCACATTCCACAGCCAAGAAGAAATTATTAGCATGGATAATCAAAGGTTACCTGGATGTGGAGAAAGTAATCACTCCCTTGCAAATATTCTTCCCTAGCTCTCCAATATTTTTTCCAGGTCCAATCCTTTCATCTGCTTGGTGAGTCCTCTAACCACCCATTTATCCAGTTCGGATGGGTGAGGCACCTCCAAAACCCTCTCTCAAGATTTTCATGGAAAGGGGTGAGGAAGGGGAAGAGAAGGTAAAGACAGCGTACAAAGTTGTAAGTGGTAGTGTTACCAGAGATGGGGAGGTTTGCAGACTGGAGGATGGGGGGAGCATACTGTGATAGGACTCTAAGGGCCAGTGCCTCTGCCCATGAGGCCAAGAACCCAAAACAACTCCTTCCAGCTTGGGAGAGGGAAGGCCCATTCTGCAGAGTCAAGCGTATTAAGAACAGCTTGGAAGATTAAATCTAGAGCATCAGGCCCACTGGCCGGTCTCATGTTAAGCCTTAAGCTGGAAGAGGAAGACGTTCTAAAGTGACCTCTGTATTTGGGGGCCATGTCAGCCACTGGTAAAAACCCAGACCTGAATGGGTACAAAGGGTGTTTTGACCCCATCATTCAGGCCAAGAACATGCTCCTTACTGGAGAAATGGGAATCCCCCCTTTAACAAGTCCCACCATTCCATAACCACCAGCCTGTGGAGGTCCAAGCCTCGGCTAGGGCCCTTCCCCCAGCAGCTCCAACACCTAAAGCCAGTCCCAATCCCTTTTAGGGGGGCTCACATGACCAGGCCTATAGCCGCCTCCCACCCCCTGGGCTGGCAAGTTAGGGACTCAAATTCAGCCTCCAGGCTGGCAAAAGTCAAAGGTGGCTGGAACCATTTCCCCCTATTTCTCCGCCGCTGCTGGCTTCACTGTAGCTTACATTAAAAAAACAGTGAATCAGGAGATGTGTTGGAAGGGGGTGTGGGGTGTCTATAAACACACAAGCTCAGACAGTCCCTGGAGACCAAAGCTCCTACCCCAATTCCCACAGCCCACCCAGACCCTTCTCTTGCAACCTTTTATCAAAACACAACACCCTCCCTCCCAGTCCTTCCCTAAGTGTTGAAAAACCATTTTATTAGCCAACCTACCTGTCTATACTCTGGGGTAACCTTACACTCATGGTTTCTCAGCGTCTCCACGGCTCCAGAATCCAGTAGTTTTGATGTCTTGATCAGGAATGAATTGCTTGCAATTTTTAAGGTGAGAGGAGGGCCTCCCTGAAGACACAGTCCTTTTGCCGAGGGCTCTCAGGACCCTGGTAACTGAAGCTCCGTTCTACTTCCACCAGTTAACATGGTCTCCTCCTTTCTTAGCCCCCTCTTCCCCTCCCCCCTTAAAAAAAAAGAAAAGAAAAGAAAGAAAAAGGAAAAACTAGGACCTTCTTCAAAACCAAAAACCCAACCACAAATCTCTTCAAGGTTAGCGCTATGGGCTAACACAAATGAATCACAGGAAGAATGTGACTTCAAAATATCAGTCTTAACTGCAAAATACAGATAAAACCCATCCTTTAATCCAGTTTTCCCAGCTGTTGGCAAGAGAGCCTCGAGCTCCAATGGGGGAAAAATTCTCTGGTTTCCAATGCTTAAAACGACAACAAATATATTTGAGGGAAGAATAAAAAAAGAAGGATAAATCCGAATTGGCACTTGGAAAAAAATCTTCCAGCTTATTTGCACAGTGAAAAATAAATAAAACCATACAATAGTATGTACACAACGGCACTCCTTCCAAGTCCAGTGCAACCCTGGAAATCAAAATTATGAATTTCCTTTTTAAAAAAGCTCTTACATGAAAGGTTTTGAAATTCTGAAATGAGCCAATCGCACCAAAAAAAAAAAAAAATTCAAAAAACACCTGAAATGTTATGCCTTTTCTTTAAAATGGTAGCAATAACCACAAACCAGAGAAAATCTCTGAAAATATTTTCTCCTTTTCTTTTTCCTTTAAACTTGCAGGTTTCTCCAGCTACCCCAGCCTGATTCTCAGACCCAGCCCAGGTTCGGCCTTTTTCAGAAAGACAATTTCCTGAGTTAGTTCTGTTTTGCTCCTCCACATCCAGGCTCCGAAAATTTCTCTTGCCTCAGCCTCCATGAAACGGAGATTTCGCTTCCTCCCGTCTCCCCTTTTCTCCCTCTCGCCCAGCCAAAAAAAAACTGCTCCTTATTATGAATAGTTTGGAATATTATTGTGGATTTGAGTCGGGGGTGGGCTTTTCCGCCCCACCAGCCGCTGGAAGATCGCTCGCCGGGCTTCTCCCGGCCTCTCCTCCTAGCCGCCCCTCGCCTGGTCTCGCAGCCACAAGCCCCGGCCGCGCGCAGGACCGCAGGCGGCCTCCGGTGCCCGGCCCCGCTCGCCGCTCGCCGCACGCCCGACCGCCGCGCTCGGCCTCCGCGGCCGCGGGACTCCGCGCTCGGGCGCAGGCAGGGAACGCGGCGGCGGCAGGCCGGCTCCGGCGGGCGTCCGGCTCCCGGCGTCGAGGCCGCGCTCGCCTCCTTCCGGGCCCCTTCCCCCTCGGCTCGCCGCTCGCTCGGGCGCAGGCCCGGCGGCCGCCCCCTCCCCGCGCCGCCCGCCTCCGCCTTCCCCGCGAGCCTTTCTCCGGCCCTCGCTGGGGGGGCGGGGCCGCAGGCTCCTCCTCCTCGAGCGCTGCCCGCCGGCCTTTCCCCTCACGCCGCGGCCGCGGGGGGCGGGGGGCGGGGGGGGGGGCCGGGCGCCGGGAGCCGGCCGCGCTCGCGTCCTCGGGCTCCAGCGGTCGCGCCTCCCGCCGGCCTGCGCCGGGTCTCGGGCCTCCCGGCGCAGCCTGTCCCGCCGCGACCCCTCGCCGCCGCCCCTCGGCCGGGCCCTCTGCTGCCACAGCGGCGCGGCCCTGCCCCTCGGCGCGGCCTAGCTGGCCCCGGGCTCGGCCAGATCCCCGGCTTTTTCCGGCCCTGCCCGCCGGCGACCCCGGCCCCGACTCCGCGAGGCCCCGCGCGCGGCCCCCGCCGCCCTCTCCCCGCTTCCCTCGGGTGCCTGCCCCTGACTACTGCCTCGGCTCCGGACACGACCGCGCTCTCCCCATCCCCGCTGCCGCGGTGCCCCGCGCCCCCCACCCCACCCTACCCCACCCCCACCCCTACCCGAGCCTTTACCTCCTGGCTGCCACCAGCGTCGCCCCTGCTCTCCCACCGCCACTGCTCATCTCTCCTCCGCCTCGCTTCTCATCTTATTTTCAAAAATTTGTTGCGGCCTCCTTCCAGGGAATCAGGAGCACTTGGAACTGTTTCCTCCCTTTTCTGTGCCCCCCCTCCCCCCCCACACACACGCACCCTCCGACAGTGGTGGAAGGAGACCCTTCGCTTTTCCCCCTCTGCTTGGTTTGGGCATATACCAAGTTGTGTAAAGAGTTTTTGAACTCGACGGAAAAGCCTTTCAAGGACAATTCTATTTTCATAACTCCCTCTCTTGTAATCACAGTGTCTAAATCTTTCCAAGTAACATGACTGAAGGTCCTAAGCGTTATGATTAAAAATAATTCAGATAAAAAGGAAACTTTTTCATTAGGACTGGAGAGTCTAGCTTGATTTTCTTCCCTAGGTAAATGCAATTGTAAAATAGCCTGCAGGCATTGCTCTGTTTGCATACATTCTTTTCCTTCCACAGCATCTCCATTGTTCTTAGGGGCTGTATTTGTGTATCTTTCCCCTTACCCAGCCGGAACTGCCGAGTGACTTTAGTGTTAATAGTGGTGGTTTTGCAAATGGCAAGAGGAAAAAAACTAATCAACGGTTGAGGACTTTCAATGAACCGGGACCTTCCCCTCAGTTTTACCAAGTACAGGTTGGCAAATTCAAAGACCTGCTGCCTTCACTCCCTAGTCCGGAACTCCCAAAGATGAGAGTGCTGTCCTGTATCTGAAGCACCACTGTCCAAATTGCTACCGACTATTCTTTTCCCTTACTCCCTGCAAAGGTGAATCTCCCAAAAGTGGACATTTCTCTGTGGGGATAGAGCAGTGGTCGGCAAACATTTTCAGCTTTGTTAACATGTGTAGTCTTTTTTTAAAGATTATTTGCATGTATTTTATCAATATTACATACCTTATAAAACATGCCTTAGAGTAGAAATATTAAAAGATTGAGAGGCCTTCCTGGGGGGCGCAGGGTTAAGCACCGCGCAGTGAAGCAATCCGCCACTTCTGCAGCCAGGAGTTCCATCCCCAGCCAGCTAGGAAGCAATCCACATGGCGAGGCAGCCCTCTCCTGACTAGTCCACTGCTCCCCTCAGCAGTGTGTTTCGGACAGTCTACCTGTTCTGTTCCCCACTCTGTCTCTGGTGAATCTTCTCACCTTCCCCTGCCCCCCCATCTCTGGCCTGTGCCCCAGCTCTTGTATGCATAAATAAATCTTTTTAAAAAAGAAAAAAGATTGAAATTAATATGAGCATATTTAATAAACATTACTTTTTCGGGAAAGTTAATGTCATAACTGGAAAGATACTTGTCAAAGAGGTAGGTTTGGTTCTTTTACTGGTTTTTTATTTTTAATTGCAGTAAATTGCGTTATAACACTATAAGTTTCAGGTGTACGACACTGAAAATCAACTTATGTATAAACTGCATTAAGTAAGTTCACCATTAAGAATATGATCCTATCGGGCCTCCCCGGTGGCGCAGCGGTTGAGCGTTGGGTTGCGAAGCTTCCCGCAGCCTCTGCAGCGCCAGCTCGATCCCCGGCTGCTCCCCGGACACCGGAGGAGGGTCCCACATGGCGCGCAGACCTCTCCTGCCGCCCGCTGCTCCCCTCAGCAGTGTACTTCAGTCCTTCTGCCTGCTCTGCTCCCCACTCTGGCTCTGGTGAATTCTCTCACCCTCCCGCGCTTCTGACTGTACCCAGTGCTTGTATCAATTAATCAATCAATCAATCTGTATAAATAAATAAATAAATCTTTAAAAAAAAAAAAAAAAGAATATGATCCTATCAATCACCATACATTTGTCTCCCAAAGAGTGAGATTTTGAACGGAAGAAGTGCATCTTTGTTTGCATTTATTAAATTATGATACTCGTTTTCCAATCCATTCACCAGGATGCAAAGGCTTTTTTTTTTTTAATAAATTTTATTTTTATATTCCCCATACAATTGCAATCCCTTATTTTGGCCCCAATCCCTCCCCTTCCCACCCCCCACCCCCCATAGAGTGTCTCTGGTTCATAGTTTTTTGTTGATTTTGATTTTCACTTTCTTATAGTTATTCATTTTCCTGGTCCATTATTTAAGTTTTCTAGATTCCTGCTATGAGTGAGACCATCCGGTATTTTTCTTTTTCTTTTTGGCTTATTTCGCTGAGCATGATCCCTTCCAGCGCCATCCATGTTGCTGCAAATTGCATGGATTTATCTTTTTTGAATGCTGAGTAATATTCCATGGTATATATGTACCACATCTTCTTGATCCAGTCATCTATTTTTGGGCATTTGGGTTGTTTCCAAAGCTTAGCTAAAAATATGGAACGCTTTACGAATTTGCGTGTCATCCTTGCACAGGGGCCATGCTAATCTTCTCTGTATCGTTCCAATTTTTTTAGTATATGTGCTGCCGAAGCGAGCACTGCAAAGGCTTTTAATTGAAATTTATATTTTAAGTAAATTTATATCTTAAGTCAGTCATCCTTCTTGAATGATTGAAAAATTTGCATTTCATGTATTAACAAATGGGTTCAAACCCACTAAGAAGCTTCATTTAGGTTTTTAAAACATTTTAAAATTCTGTTTCCTTGTTTTTCAAGTATGCAGACAAAAGTTTCTATAGGTGAAGAATATTGGTTTTGATAATAAATATAAATCACAATATTGAAAATACTTCCCATCATGAAGTTTCAAAATGCTTTTTCCATAAACATGAGTTTCTTTAGAAAAACAATTTCTTCCCCATTTATTAATAGACATCTTCACCTTGAAGGGATTAAGTGGACTTTTGTTGTTGAAAACAAGTGCTAGAAGGCATACTCTTGCCAGCCATTTCTCATCATAGAACATTGTAAAATAAAAATGTGTCTCTCCTCTAAGTCCACTATCTCATTTTAGACTTTTCCCAGGAGATAACCAATGAATCTCCGCAGAACAGAGATTTTCATGGCCCTTCCCTCTGCTTTTACTCAGAATTGTAAAGTTTGTAGCAGTTAACAGGCTTATTCCTGTCCAGTGATTACATCCACTATGAGTCTGACCTGTTCCTGGAAACATCTTGCATACTGTGTATAACAGATGACTTCTTAAATAGAGAACCAGTGTGAGTGGTAGTCAAACTATATATTAAATATGAGTAACCTTTAAATAAATATTTTTGCTATAGTTCAAAACTATTTCTAGTACATTTTTTTTTTAAGATTTATTTATGTATACAAGAGCTGGGGTACCCGGCAGAGGTGTGGGGGGGGAGTGAAAGGATTCACCAGAGACAGAGTGGGGAGCAGAACAGGCAGACTGACTGAAATACACTGCTGAGGGGAGCAGTGGGTGAGTCAGGAGAGGTCTGCTGCGCCATGTGGGTCACCTCCCTGGCCAGGGCTTGAACTTGTGCTGCAGTGGCTGGCGATAGCTTGATAGTGCTGGGATTTAACCCCCCTTCCACCAGGGAGGCCCCCGCCCTCTTATTTTTAGGAATGAGAAGCAAGGGTTAAAAAACAGGTATGGTTAGGTTTTATTTGCTGAGAAGGATTCTAGAAACTTAATATTTAATTGGGTAGCCAAGGGAGAGCCATGGTGCAGAACCTTGAATGGTTCCCAGCATGAGTTCTACGGAAGCAACTTCTCATTAATGGACAGACATACCCACCCAGGCACAGCTGCTAGGTTGTCATCATTCTCCTGCTGTTGTTAGTGGACAGGCCTAAGAAAATAAAATCACCATTAGAGGAATAGTGACACTGTTATGGAGATCTATTTATCCTTCTTTAACCTTTATCAGTTGGAAAGCTAATGTGAAAAGGCTTGCTTAATTAACGTATTGTTTAGTCCTTAGACTGAGAAAATTTTGTGGTTTTTTTTTTTTTTTTTTAGCTGTTTTAGTCTTCTCTAGAATGTTTCTGGGTAGCCAGAATAACCAATATTTAAACTGTGTAACAGACATCCTTTCACTGTCACTCAGAATATTCTGTTCATTCAATCTGTTGATTTCCCAATAAAATGTTCATATGAAGTGATAATAACACCCAAAATATATAGTGCTTTCTGTGTAAAGTCTGTTCTAAACAAGCTGCAAGTATTAACCATCCTTCCTCCCAGCCATCCTTTGAGGATATTATTATCCTGCTTTTCAGATGGGAAACAGCAGTCCAGAGAGGTAAAACAACTGAC